ATGGTTTAAACGTCCCGCTGTATTCTGATGGTAACGGCGACAGTGGAGAGAGTAATGTAGGAATTCTCCACAATGGATAGATATAGCTTCATATTATCTTAGAGATTCGTATGTCCCACAAGTTAAGTAGTAAGATTAAGTAGTGCTCGAAGCGATCATGCCGCCAGTTTGACTGGAGATAATGTTAGTTCCGTTAGCTTCCAAGAGACGAAAGAAAGGCTCCGATTCTCCGACATTCACAAAGTTCCTTAGGCACGGGAATGTCGGTTGCGGTGATCTGCGTAATATTCGTAACTTCCGTAACTTAGGCAAAGCGATTATATCATCGATCCACTTCCAAGCTCCTTAACTATTGGCTGACGAATTGATACTGCGAAGTTCTGATGTGGCACTTGTTATATGAAAGAAGCATGTCGCTAGATTATGGATACAATCTATTTGACGATTCGATTAATCAATTGAACTAATTAAACTACTTAGCGACCTCTAATCTCTCCGTAACTAATACAGTCAATCAATTAGTCAATTACTAGTGTCGAGTAAACATGTGTTGTCTATTTATAGATGCACAGAACATATATATAATGGGCGTGACGAAGTTTCATTGTTCGTAAATAAAAACAAGATAGACCCAAATAATCAAGCATGATATAGCATATTGTAATTTAATGCAGTGCATGTATTTTACATACTTTCAGTACATTTGTTAACATCGAAATAGGACACGAACGTAGCAACATAACATTACATGCAATTAATTCACGAAACTTTAAAAACAAATTTTAAGAACAAAAACATGACAATAATATATCAGCAATAAATAATTAGTTGTCCCATCTTGAACATTATAAAATAAAAATGAAAATATGAAGATAATAAAACATATATAAGAAGGGAGAGTGTGCATCACGGCGGGACCCGATCACGAATCAGTCCTGAAAATTCACAATTATTATTTTTGCGAAAGATATCACCTCAGCTAGGAATCGATATCCTGTTTACTGGCAGGCATCTTATCCTTTCGATTACAGAGGTATGTGATGATATTTATCGTAATAATGTATTTAGTAACAACACGTTAAACAATACCAATGTCTCACACACATACACACACACACACACACACACACACACACACACACACACACACACACACACATTTCAATACACATATATACATGTACTTTCTCGATCCTCACGCTGGTACTCCACAGCGATGTTGGTCTCTCACTCGATGGAATTAATGATTTTCATTTGTTGCGTATATATTAGCTAATTTTTTAATTGTAGTTCGTTGCTAACAAAGTGTTGATAATATGAAATGTTACACAACTTTACGACAAAATTATATCCAATTCCGTTGCTAGATAGACGCGATAAAATTCTAGTAAATAAAAATCATACAGGATAGAATAAAAGATGTGTATGATGTAGATTTGTGTAGAGGTATTATGAATTCATTTCAACCATTTCTAGTAAAATGATTTTTTGAAGGCGAGTGTCCAAAATGAGATTCCACTCAATACAATTTTTTCCAGATGGAAAGCTGACAAAATGAAAGTAAATTAAATATTATTTCGACAGTACAATTATTAATTAAAATGACGAAAAATATGTAAAAGAAAATAGTAGCAATACAGGACGAATGCTAAGCGGGAAGTTCCAAGGAGAGTAGAGGGACAGTTGATTCCGCGGCACGAGATACTCCATAAGCGGTGATCGCAGGATCTGTGAGGTAAAGGAGAGAGGAAGTGCGTCATTAAGCATGAGATCCACAGAGCGAAGGAGAGGATTTGGAAACTCCGAGGGGATTAGAGGAGCAGAAGAGGTTCCGCGGCGCGGGATATTCCATATGCGGTAGGCGGAATTCACGGGACAAAGGAGTGAGAAGTGCGATACTAGTCGCGGGGCGAGGGAGGGAATCTTAAACGCGAGGTCCTTCACTGCCGTAATTGCCGCCATGTTCTTTCTCTCCAATGTATACTTACTATCTTCTTCACTGCAACGTTCTTTATCCCCCTTTGATCTCGTACTATCTCTCTTGTTTATATTCTTAGTGAATCTCAATAATTTAAATATCTTTTACAAAGGAGATTTAAATAAAGAACAGTAGACAGGAATAGGGAAAAATAGAGAAAAATTTTTATTTAATTAGAAGATTTTTTTAAAACTTATATTTAAAAATGAATTAAAACTTATATTAAAACTTATATTTTTAAAATAAATTTTTTAGAAATATAAAAATAAAATAATGAAAAATATATAAATAATACAATAAATGTATATATATAT